TGGGACACTCAGGGGCTGGGACACTCAGGAGTGGGACACTCAGGGGCTGGGACACTCAGGAGTGGGACACTCAGGAGTGGGACACTCAGGAGGTGCTCTGGGAGCAGGGACACTCAGGAGCTGGGACACTCAGGAGCTGTGACAGACACTCAGGAGTGGGACACTCAGGAGGTGCCCTGGGAGCAGGGACACTCAGGAGTGGGACACTCACTCAAACTGGGACCAGCCCTCCTCTTGCCCCAGAACACCTTGCTGCAGCAGAGCTCTCTCCCTGTGCTCTCCCTGCCCCGGGAATTGGCGGCCCAAAACCAGATGGGTTTGGTGTGTCTGCACCTCCCAGCACCCCCAAACTGCTCTCATGATTTAAATACATTTACACTTCGTGTTCTCCACGCCAGGGGAGAAGGAAGTTACTAAGAAATTTGCAGAAGGGTGTGCTGGAGGAACTAAGCAAACAGCCAGAAAAAAGATCTCCTACCACCTCACCTTTTGCTAAACCACTCAACCATCTTCCCCCTTTGTCCTTCTTCAACACACCTTTAGATTCTCTTTCAATGCTCAGATGTGTTTTGGTTAGAATTGCAAAAGATTGACCAAAATAATACTCACTGGATTTTTCATAAATGTTTTCCTCGCTTTGTTCAGGATAGTTTTCCAGAATTGCAACAGCAGTCCTTCAAAATAAAGGTTAAATGTCTCTTCAGGTAAATATGCATAACTTGTGTTCCTGAAACGCCCATGGAGCCTTCAGTTGCAATCCAGAGATGCTCTCCTACATGACAACCACATATTGTGAGAGTTCTAATTTCCCTAGAGTTATACAAGAACTGAGATAAGAGACTGTAAACACCTATTAGTCCAGCCCTGTGCCACTGTGGGATTTTCCCTTACATGATTTCCTATTGTTAGGCCACGTTCATGTGACCTTAGCAAGACTTACCTCGGGTTTCTCCATACTTTGCTCATGTTTTCTTATTTTTTTTCTTTCCATGCCGCTCACCCTTCACCAAAGGGCAATGACTTTGTTTTACACATCTCCCAATTCTTCACCTTGCTTGAGAATACGGCCTCACCCTGCTGCTCAGGGTGTAGCAGAGAAGCTGTGGAAGGACTTTGCACAGTCAGCTGCAGCTCCAGTTAGCCAAGCTGCCACTGTTAGTGGTGAACAAACCCCTGACTCTTTCCCTGGCTCTCTCTCCTTGCCCCTCCTTCTTTGGCGGTGTTTATCCAGAGGCAAAACGAAAGAAGAAAAATATCTTGAAATTAAAAATCATATGTACACAGCAGAACCTGTGAAAAGAGAGAACAAAGGAGTTTCAAGGGAACTGAAAGGGTGACATGAGTAGTTACCTGTGTGTCCACCTGTGTGTATACACACAGGTAACTGGAAAAGAAATCCCCAGGTGGATAATTCACAGTATTCATGGAAAACAGAAGAACTGTAGCAGTTAGACTCTTGGAGGCCAGAGGAAGATGCTAGAATTGTTAATGTGTTGAAGTCCTGTAATGTGGAACAGGTGACAGTGTAAACTATCAGTGACAAGAAAGGGAACACGGCTCTATCAGAGCCTGGCTGATAACCAAGGCAGATCACAGGATACAACACGGAACATCTGAACTGCACCGCGGTACACAGCAGTACGGCTGTGTTAAAAAAAATAACTCAGCTGCATTTCCCTCACCTGGATTTGCCAGGCTATGTTGCAATTTGTCCTTATTTGCCGTGACATAGCACAAGGAAAAGCACCCCCAAAACCTGATTCAGAGCCAGTCAAGGCTACCTTGGAAAACGTCACTGTTTCGAAAGACAACACTGGTGGAAGAACGGCGCGGAGGTTTCCGCTGCCGGAGCCGCTCGGGCGCAGCGTCAGCGCGGGGGCTCGGCCGTGAGCCCGGGGCAGAGCCCGGAGCCTGCTCCGAGCCCGCCCCGCGGGGACCGAGCTGGGGCCGTGAGCGCACCTCGGAGCCAGCAGCGGCCGCAGAAAGCCGAGCGGCCGGGGCCGGGCGGGGCAGCAGCGGCAGCAGGGGCAGCAGCGCGGGCCGGGCCGGGCGGGCGCGGTGCCCGGGGCAGGTGCGCGGCCCTCCCCGCGGGGCGGGCGCGGCGCAGGCACCGCCCGGCTGCGCGCCCTCCGGGGCGGGCCCTGCCCGCCCTTTCCGCTCCGCGCAGGGGGAGGAGCGGCTGCGGCGGCGCCGCTCGGAGCTGGGCTGCTCTGCCGGGAGCAGCATCGGGACCGGGACTGGGATCGGATCGGTACCAGGACCAGAACCGGGATTGGGACCAGCTTCGGGATCAGAACCAGGACAGCGGAGCCGGGAGCGCGCCCCCGAGTGGCGGGGCGGGCTGCGGCGCTCAGAGCTGCGCGCCCCCGGCCGGGGCACGGCTTCGCATCGGGACGGGGCAGCTCCGCTCCGCGCACCCTGCGCGCCTTTCCGCACCGCACCGGGGCGGCTCTCCGCGCCTTTCCGCACCGCACCGGGGCAGCGCTCCGCGCCTCTCCGCTCCGCGCCTCTCCGCACCATACCGGGGCAGCTCTCCGCGCCTCTCCGCACCGCTCTGGGGCAGCGCTCCGCGCCTCTCCGCACGGCAGCGCGGCCCCGCTCCGCGCGATGCTGCCCGGGCGCTCCCCGCACCGCTGCGCTTGAGGCGGGCGCGGGGCGGCCATGCAGCCCTCGCTGCTTTAGCTGAGCGTGGCGCTTGGCCCGGAGCCCGCGGCCACCCCCCGGCGGCACCGGCAGCACTGGCACCATGAGGAACGGCGATGACCTGGAAGGCTTCGACGGCGAGGCGTCCAGCGCCTCCATGATCTCGGCGGCCAGCAGCCCCTACCAGCCCACCACGGAGCCCGTCAGCCAGCGCCGCGGGCTGGGCGGCCTGCGCTGCGACCTGGACTACCTGCGGGGCACCTTGGGCAGGCTGAAGGTGGCCGAGGTGGTGAGTACCGCGGCGGGGAGCCGGGCGGTGTGAGGGGCGGGCCCGGCCGGGCCGTGCGGCGCTGCCGGGGCCGCGGGAGCGCGATCCACCGGGGCCGTGTGCCCAGAGAGCCGCTGCGGGGCCGGGACAGCGCGGCACGGCGGCTCCGTGCCAGCACCGCGCCTTCCGACCCCGCTCACGGCGGCCCGGTGCCCGGGGCAGGCTCCCGGCCGTGCACGGGGCAGGTTCCCGGCCGTACCCGGGGGAGCCTCCGCCGTTCCCCCCTGGGACCCGCCCGGTGCCGGGTGCCGAGCTCGCAGAGCCCTCTCTCGCCTGCTTTGCCCTTAGCGGGCTGAAGTTCTGCTAAGTGCACCGAGTAAAAAGAAAGAAACCCTTAAAAAAACCCCGAACACCAAACGTGAGGTTTTGTATTGGGAAATTAAACGTGAGCTGGGTTCGTTCGTGTACTTTGGACACCTGGGCTGGTTCAGCTTGATGGAGCCCGTGCAAGGCTCGGACCACCCCAGCAGTGAAACACGTAATAAACACCGAAGCATTTCAGCAGTTTCTGTGCTGCCAGTGCCTTCATCTGATCTGCTTTCAAGTCACTATGTTATTTCTATTTTTCAAATCAACAAATGTGTTTTTCAGGATCTTAGGAAAAGAGGTGTTTTATGCAAATGACAATCACCTTGAAATAGGTTTTAAAGTAATTTCTTACAGGGTGCTGCAAATTCTTGTAACTTAAGTTCTTTGAGAAGTGTGATGCCAAAAACATTTTAATATTTCGTATTTATAACTTTGGCATTTAAAACCACTGCTGGTTAGTACAAGGCAAAACTTGCACATACAGGTTTCATGAAAAACACATTGGAAGTATCCTGGCTTCAGCTGCACACAAGTTTATAGAGGACTCTGGTGGTGAATTCATTTTTTATGAATGCCCAGTACAATCCAGGCTTTGGAAGTGTGATTTGTTTCCATCTCATCTCCTCGGCGCAGGGCAGGATCTTGTGCTCTGTGGTAGCAGTGAGCGTGTGAGCCCAGTGAAACACCAGGGACCAGCAGTGTGTGCTGTGTGTGTGTTCAGGACTGGAGCCAAGGGATCTGTCATCGCTGTGCAACATCTACCTGTCTTCGAGCTGTTAAAAACTGTCCATGTGGTGGAAATCCTGGGCTGGTGCTGCCTGATACGCTGAAATAATCCGCCCTCGGGATTTTTGTTTCAGTTCCTACTGCAGATCCTTTCGGCAGCACGCTAATAACCGTGGCAGGTCTTGTTAAAAACTTGTCATTGAAATGACTAATTACTGATTGTAACCGAATCCTTTATTATTAAATCTGACTTGCTTGGAATGAATCCCAAAGGTGCTTGGAGTACACCTCATGAGTTTTTAAGTCATGTAAGGAAAGATGGGGGAAAACCACGCTCTGCTGGGGTTAGAGAGGTTTCCTTGTCCCTGCACAGAGACACAAAGACACTGCTGCTCTCCGTTCGTCCTTGGGGACTTTGATACTTGCAGAGCAGTGTCCTGAGAGGAGCTGAGCTGTGCTTTGTGCCAATTTCACAAGAATGATCTGAGCTATTGCATGTGGTTCCCAGGGGTGCATGAATGCAGAGGGGCAGCAGTTAAATAGAAATAAGGTTGGTTGATGGAGGGTGGAAGGCTGTGCACCACCTCAGCCTGGTTACTTGTACTTGAAAAAACTCCTCATTCATGGTAATGGAAGAGCAGACAGACTTCTGACATTTGCAAACCAATGGAAAACTGAGCAGTGCTGGAAAAGAAAGGAGAGAGAGCACATTCCACTGTGTACTTAGGTTGCTTATTTGCCAAGTATAATTATTGCAATTACAATATTCAATAATGCCTTTACAAAAATACTGTAGGAACAGAAACTAACAAAGTCTGTGGTGTAGAACTCTATCTCTTAAAAACAAGAAGGAACTCCTGGCACTCAAAAAAACATTACAAAAAGGAAAAAGGCAAGTATTGGTTAAGATAGAAGTCTCTAAGTGTATTATAGTAAAAAAGAATGTTACAGGAAAGATTACAATGCATGTGCTTCATTTAGCATCAGGATTGATCTTAAAATACATTTGTGATTGACAGGCAAAATATCAGCTCGAGGCAAGCATTGCTGCTGCTTGTTCTAATCTTTGGTTGAAGGGCTTCCCGCAAACTGCCCTGTGGTGCTGAGGGAAGGAAAACTGCTGCTCTCTGTGGCTTGGATAGCCCTGCTTCCAAATGCCCATTTTTGACTGTCAAAAACATAGGGAACGGGGAAAACCCCACATCTCTTAAAATAGGTGTAAGGCTCTGTTAATTTGTTGTAGATTTATCTTTATGGATTCATTGACCTTCTGGCATTTAAAAGGAGCAGTACCTTTTCTCATGGAAGGAGTGAGAGGAGGCCATCCTTGGAGAGCAGAGCAGGAATGTTCTTTAGAGTTTATTCTCGTTTCTTTCATTCTTTAGAGTTTATTCTTGTTTCTTTCTGGCATGAATTTGTTTCTCATGCTTTTGAGGGGCTTTAATACTTCCCACAGAGACTGCTGTACAATGGTGAAATGGATATCACTGGAAAACTTTGCTAGGGATGTCCTCAAATGATTTGTTTTATTTCAGTACTTTCTCCCCATTCCCTTGAATTTCCTAAGGACAGTCTCTCCTGAGCGTGCTTGCTGAAAAGAGATGTTTAGTGTGGGGAGTCAGGAGGGGCCCATTCTATCATGCCAAGCAGATCAGCTGCTGAGGAGGTGCCCCCTCTTTGCTGGAAATAGTTTCATTTTAAATGAGACTGTCTGCTTTTTTTCCCGCCTCTTCATTTTAGTTTTCAGCTTTTCCAAATGCATTATTATTATTATTTTCCCTTGGTTATTGTAATTCTTCACCTTCAAGTACCTTACTGTCATTAAAGGTGGGCATAGACACATTTCCTACTGAAATTCCCATGGCTGGTCGTGGCTGCCCTTTGTCTGCTGTGTGTTTGTTCCAAATGCTACAGAAATCCATCCGAGATTCCTTCTAAAGAAGATAATACTTCTGCTTGGGAGGCCTCTGAGCTGGAGATGCTGATGAGTGCACTGGGAAGTCTCACTGCTTTCTTGCTCTTGTCTTCTTGTCTGTAGCATTTGATATTGCCAGGGGAGGCAGCAGTTTGAGCTAAATGAAATCTGCTGGGAGTAGCAGTTCAGATGTTCATAGTTTTCAGAATAAAAAGTTCTGTCTTCATTGGTGGAGAGTAGCAGAGCATTGAAAAAAAGTTGTTTTGTGGCTTGCTGTCATTATACATTTCCAGATTCAGAAATGGGTTGCAGAGGCCAGGACTACAGTGGAGCTCAGGGCTGTCAGGTTCTGTTGAGATGAAGAAAACAAAATTTAAAAGTCAGGAATGCGTGCCTACATGGGTAATAAGACTGTTGAGAATTCTTATTGTTAATTATATTAGAAAATTAAAGTAATAACATTCATGTTCCAAGGAATAAGCTAATTGCTGACTATTAGAATCTGATTGAAAGCTGTTCTGAGGTGTTCATTAATCTCATATTTAGTTACTTTTAGTTACTGGGTGCCACCTCTCTGCAATGCCACTCCTCCAGACACTTCTCCTCCTTCATCCCAGCATCACACTGGCAATTTGTGCTCACTCTGTGATGATCTGCATCGCCCACCTTTTTATCCTTTTACACTCTCCAAACAATGAATGTGTGCTACTGTGAGAAATTGTGGCTTTTTTCTGTCATGTGCTGAGCTTTGATTTTCGGTGGCGTTTGTAGCTGCTTGTTCAGAAGATGTGGGGTGCCACACACACATCTTCTCATGTGATGATCTCTGGTATTTGCTCTTAGAAAAATATCATATTGACAGGAGCAAATTCGTAATGCACAAATATGCTTAGAAATAGTTTTCAGGTGTCTCTTCAGTGGCTCTGAAAACTCTTGACTTTTCTTCAAA